ATGTCCACAACGTAAACTTGAACTTTCTTTTTGCTCGTTCTTTTATTGAGTTCATACAATAAATATGAAAACAACCAATGGTTGCTTGTATTTTTATTATTTTATAATCTATCAGTCGAATGTTTAATAATACATGAGAGTTTAATAATACACCGTGACAGAGAATCGATAATTCATTAATATAACATGTTGGAGAATCGGAACCCAACAAACTTATTTTTTCATTAATAAATTTGCTAACAAAAGCTTTAATCATGTGTAGCAATTCCGTTTTGTTAACTTTTTTCTTGTTTTAAATTAATATGGCAACAAGTGAATATAATTTGAGAAGTACGAAAGATGATAAAATATCCGACTTGTTCGATAACAATTATGTAAACAAACCAGGGGACCATTCACAGAACGAACCTCCAGGCAGCGAACACCAACCTCAACCGGTACTAATGTTTAGCACGGCGCCACCGCAAGTCAATGATTCCACTTACCCAAGAATCTTCCAGGGTAATTGCACGGAGGCTCTAAATTGGCGGGCGTACTATGAAAATTGGTTGATATTTAAGCATTCGCTAATGGTAGATAATGAAGGTAACATGAGAGACAGCCGCAATGAATTCAACCCGACGATGGTAACATCACTTTTGAACCTGTTATTGCGCGAACCTGCTAATCACTGGCCAAATTCGCCACCTGCTAAGACAAAACGATCATTCAATGAGCTGAAGACTTGTTTTCATGAACATTATAACCCAAAAGAGTCGCGCTAGAAAACTTGAAGAGACATTTGGACCGTAAAACAAGGTGCTCGGAGAATCAGTGGATGATTACTTTTTTTAGAATGCATGCACTTGCTTCCACCGCCGATGGACAAAAATGACATCAACGATTATTCAGTCGTTCGGCAAGGCTTGAGAGATGACATTAAAACAGGAGTGACGTGCATGCACCAGAGTGACATAAATGAGTTGCTGAACGCCGCGAAAGCAGTAGAAGCTAACTTTTCGAACAGTAACAACTTAGAGAATTCATTAATATAACATTTCTTACGTTGTTTCTTGTTGGTATTGCTTGTACCGTTGTAAAAATGAAGGTTACAATTCATTTCCTTGCAGTACTTCGTTTAGTCCAATTGAGAAGTTGTTCCAAATAAGAAAAGCTTTTCATGAAATCAACTTGGTAAGTTTTGATTCAATTGTTTTTCATCAATCTTAAATATTTACAGCGATATTTTTTTGCGAATAAATAATATAGGATTCTGCTTGAGTCTAAACTGTCTTTGTTTCAAGTCAAAAAAATTTAATGAAACATAATGCAACGGACAGTTGGTGTTTGTAATGTTCGCAGCGATAAATGTTCCACGCAGGCAGTGGAGAGGTTCCGACGTGAGGTGGTCCAGTGGTGCATGGATGACCTCTTTCCACTCTTCCTCTTCGTCGTCATCAGGTCACGCATCCAACATCTTGGAGCTGAAATAAATTTCATCAACGAGCTGACGGACAAGAACATGGAGATGGGGGAGCTTGCCATTATGTTCACCACACTCAAGGTTTCGTCAGTTTTTATTAATTCATTTTCTGTTCATTATTCTATTTAATTTCGTTAATTTTTATCAAGATTTTTTAAATAATTTAAATAATAATTGTTTTTAAATAAATTTTATACTGCATGCTTTTTGCAAAACATGGATTGTTTGCGTCCTTTATAACTACTGGGCTGCACAAAAATTTGAAATCTACTGATAACTAAGTAAATGAGAAAAAGTTATTTTAAGACGTACCTCAGTGCAGCGTCTGTTGACATATCATTCAAGCACTCCTCGCTTTGAATACATCTAGCAGGGATATATCAGCCTGTTAACTTCAGACCATCAGTTATCATTCTTGTTCTTAATTTTTTATGGCGCAGTTCTGACCTGACGAATGCAGGGTTTTTTTCTTCAACTTAGTTGCAATCATACATTCGTACCGCTAAGACTGCAACATTCGCACAACACTTAACTGCGTGTAAATGTAATATAGTTAGAATAATGGTAATTATATTATTAGTTGTGCATATGTGCAAGCACCGCATCATGTGAACGAGGCATTTTTGAGTTTTAACGCGGACAACATTCGAACTGTCTGCTGGGCTAACCTTCTGGCCAGTGTGTTGGCAGTCTCTTGAGGAATCGATCCCGGATATTTCGTTAGTAAGCAGGATAATAATTGGAAGGGTTTGATCAGATTGCCATCACATTTTGTCGTATGGAACGTCTTCATCCATCAGATTTTCAGTTTCAGTGCGAGTTCATAGTAAAATGAAATGTATTGCATTTAAATTACAAACTATTTATTTAACATCAAATACATTTTAAAAAGATTATCGTTAATTATTTGACAGGCTTGCTATTTCCAGATTCTTAATGAAAAAGTTTTTTAGTGTTTGATCATTTAAAATTTAGTTAACGATTTTTGAAGAGCAATTTATTTTTCTTTTCGACTTTTCTGTCTTTCATGTTCTAGTTGATGTTCATGTTTGTAAATTTAGAATTCTACATCTTCAGAAAGTTTCATGATATACTATAACTCAAAGATGCATTTAAAATAAAACGTATTCTCATTATCAGTAAATGAAATTTTGGTTTGTTGTTATGTGATTTAAAATTTTATAAACTTGTAAACTGTTGTTAACTTTAATGTAAAAATGTTTTATACATTTTTTATTGATTAATAATTGACTATTTCTGAATCAAAGTTGCATTCCAATCACGTCAACTGCTTGGCACTGGCTGTTGCATTTAAATCTTGAATTTCAAAAAGATATTGTTTATTTTAAATATACAGATTTTTTTATAAGAGGTTTGTTGAATATACCGGCTATACGCTATATTTAAATATTTTTAAATTTATTACATCGTTAAATCAAAACCAGTTACATTTCATTATTTTTCAGTTTAATTTACCTTAGTGGCGTGAAAAGGAAAACTTTTTTGGAATTTGGATTGATTGATTGACTGACTGACTGACTGACTGACTGACTGACTGATTGATTGATGATTGATTGATTGATTGATTGACTGACTGATTGATTGATTGATTGATTGATTGATTGATTGATTGATTGATTGATTGATTGATTGATTGATTGATTGATTGATTGATTGATTGACTGACCGGATGTTTACAAAATTAATCATGCAATTTAAAGCGTGTGCAGATGTTAATTTTGTGACAGTAATAAAATATAGCTTATTCATCAATTCAAATGCGTGCGTTCTTTGATGAAAATATTTGTGACGTGATCGTGGGTAGAAAATTAGAAATCTAAGTTCAAATAAAATGATGATTTATTTACAGAATGAAGTGCAAACAAGTTGATTAAGAGCTGTCCATAAAGGATGTCTGCCTTTCTTTCCATTTTTTACTTCACGTCGTCACGAACTGTCTTTTAATTTTAAAATCCTCGCCCCGTATAAGGTATGTCACAGATTTTTACACCCCCACATATAAATCCTAAGTCACAATCTTTGACCTTCTTTCAAAGTTGCCATTTAGTTGCAACAATTTTTAAAAATTTAACCAAACTGTCAATATCAAGAATAATAATGAACAAATGAAAATCGGTCATATCTGATTGTGTTAGATCTGCATAAACCTGCGTATGTCTTCATGGATAAAAGCAAAAAATGAGTCATAAAGAAGAAGAGTTTTATCATGCGCAGGCTACCTAACACATATAAAATTCTATTAACTTTTTTGATGAAATGTTCTCAACGAAAATTTTACAAATTCATGTTAGAAATTTGAAAATAAGCAAAACGGGATGTCACAAAAGTTTTACCTCTTCTCTCTCTCTCTCTCTCCTTCCCCTTGTCACAGTGTCATAAATTATTTTCCCTCTTCTCAAAGTGACATTTTTAAGGGCAGCCCCTCAACAATGAAGTGCAAACAAAACAATTATTCAGTGACCGGATAACAAAAATGTCTGTTGGTACGTTTGTATGTAGTCTTTTGTTAAGAATAATAGGTGTGTTTCATTTTCATTTATTTATTCGTTTATTTAAAAATGTTTTGTACTTTTTATAGCATTTAAAATTAATTTACAACAAAAGTATCACAGAGAAACTGACTAGTATATCGATTGCTCGTAAGAATATCAAAAAATAAAAGTTAATTGCATAAAACGACGATAAAGCAATTTTAAAACGCAGAAATTAAAGGTAAAAATCAAGGTATAAAAATTTACAATTATAAGATAATTTATGCTGCACCAATTTGCCACGGATTTTCATTTTCTTCATTGGACTCAATATTAAGAATAAGATCACTATGACCACTTGGTGCAAACAGGTCACTACCGGGTTGAATATCTTTTTGAACTCCGTGTCCATCATATGGTTTCGCACCGAAGTCATCGGCATTGCAATCGATGTTAACAGTTTCGTCACTCATGTCAAGTAATTCTTCTATGTTCATTTTTTCTGGCTTCTTGTTGACGTTAACAATAGAGGTCATGTTATTATGCTGATGATTGTTGTGCGAGTCATTATCCTCATTATTTGTGTTTGTAGGACTACTGATAGTTTTTTCGTTTATGTTGGTGTCATCTGCGTCATCGTCTTCAATGCCACTTTGTTCCTCTGGTTCGTATTCTGCCTTTTCAATGTTTTCCGCACTTATTTTGCTAACCCTCTCATCCTCATTATCATCAGCCATCAAAGTCACGCCAGCATCTGAAAAGTTATCAGAAAAACCGAAGTGTTCTATTTTGGCATCGGTCGCAAGCCTTTTGTTGGTTGGATCGTGATCGTCCATCTCCTCGTTGTTATTTAAAGAAAAGTATTTGTTTGTTTCACCCAACGTTTTGAGAAGCTTGCTGTTGTTATCGCTCAATGAGCCTTCATCAACGTTCACGATTTTAGAAGTGAAGGACATTTTGGAGCTCCTCCCACTGCTGACGTCAGTGTCGCTACCTTGATCTGAACAGTGTATGTCGTTTGGGTGAATGACGATCAGTTGTCTGCATCCCTTCCCACTAAAATTATTTCCATCGGTGTACAAATTTTCCACCATGTCATCCTTCACTTCGGACAACATCCCCTTTGGGACTGAAATTAATTTCTTGTTCTTTTCAGTTGATTCGGAAAAATTCTCAATAGTGACGTTACAATCTCTCAATGAGATCACATTCGAATTTGAAGACTCTGCGTATAAAGATTTTTTTGATAAATCATCATCGTACAATTTTTTTTCATTTTGTAGCGCCTCTTCATTATCAATTACATTTATATCATCGAATATGTTGATTGGAATTTTTTTCTTCATGGCAGCATCCTCGTCATAATCATCAGATTCCATGTCGTCGGTGGCCGGCTCAATGGAGAGAGTGATTGTGTTGAAACTGAAGTTGTCGTTAGCTACTGATTCTGCAGCAAATGCATCATCAACGTCTATGAGGTCACACGGAGATCCGCTGTTTGACAACGTTTCATTCAATCTCAAAACATCTACCACTGTGGTTGATCGGCTCTCTTTAAGGTTGCACAACTGATTTATAATGGTTTGAAGGTTTGGTCTCTTGGATGCATCGTTCAAACATGCGTGCCTTATGGGTTCCCTGTAAAAGAAAAACATTTTTCCATTCATACATTTAAAGATAAAGTTTATAAAAATCTAAATAACAATTTATCTCTTTGCGTGCACGTGGATGATTGAAACTTCAGCGTTTTTTGACTTGCATGTGAAAGCACTTCCTCATCATTCAATTCAGGGAATGGTAATTGGCCAAATGTCATTAATTCTGTAACAACTATTCCAAAAGACCTTTAAAGTAATAAAGACGAGTCACAATCTAACAAAAACTTTGAGCAAAAGGAAAAAACAATTTTTATCTACCAAATATTGGCAAGTTTTGTTAACTTTCTTAATTTTAGTATTTTCCCATCAAAATGAATCGATTCTGGAGCCATCCATCTTATAGGGAACATGTAGTTTTGCCATTTGAAATAGTCAACCTACATCATTGTTTAAACATATTAAATATTCGACATCATAATATAAATTCAAAATATACGGGTATAAATGCTTATTAGATAAATTACTGTAGGGGTATAATATATATCGAGAAAGTCGTTAAAATTTTTCGAAAATTCCAGACATCAATTTAAAAGGAATAATTTACAGGAAACTTCTCTTCAGCCAAACCGTAATCACCAATCTTCACCGTCAAATCTGATGTCACCAAACAGTTTCTCGCCGCGAGATCTCTAATAAATTTAAATTCATAACAATGTTCAATTTCGAACAAGTTAGAGAGTAAATTGTCTTGTAACCTGTGAACATATTTGTGATTGTGGAGAACATCTAATCCCGTTACAATATCCAATGCAAACTTCAACAGTAATCCGTTCTGAAACGACGACTTGTTAGCCACACTGTGCGCACTGAGGTAAGACTTGAGATCTCCCTGGTGTCGTAGCATTTTTTATATTGATTTTGACACAAACGTATTTTATGCTCCATCTCATTAAAACTTATGAATACTTACAAGATGGCAATATTCGAGCAGCGAGCAGTGCGGACGTTCGTGAACATTAACTTTCAAAAATGACAAAACGTTCTTATGGCGAATTTCTCTGTAGAAATTGATCGTGTAACTTAATTAGGCAATTTCAAAATAAACGATGTCAGGCAACCCAACCTGTATGCGGACAATTCTTTCCAAAAATTTAAATTGGTTATCGGCGTAACATTCTCATCGTCTAATAACGAAGTCAAGACGCATTGTATGAAAACACTTTTGTCTTTGGTTGTTACTAAAAATACCTTCAAAAAAGTGTTTTTTAGTTCAAAAATCACTGTTTGAATAAAGAATATAAGATTTTATTACAACTTAAAAATTACATTAGCTATCAATGGAATGATTGAATAATAAAACAATTACTTCTCCATAGAGACTTTTTCCAATCAAGCTGCCAGGTTGAATTGATGATTTATCAATATGGAATTTTGAATCTGGAATGTTTCAATATCGTTTAAATTGACCAACAAACTTTGAAACATTCACATTTTACCTATTGAAGTCAATATATTTTTTATTTCTTTATCCGTGTCAATATTTTGAAGAAGTTTTTCTGTATAAATTTTTGGTCTTAAACTTTTAACGATAATATTATCTTCAGACCCTGGAATGCATATTTCAATTTCAGGTAATGTATCAAAAGCAACTTTTGTATCGGGGTGGAATGACGTTGGAAATGAGGCCTGACTCGCAGCCTTGTTTGCGTTCTGCACGCCTTCATGTAAACGCTTCAATGAATTTTTATGTAATGAAACATATTGAATTGATTAAATAAACTTTTTCATTTTATTCATTATAAGTTTTTGGCATGCAAATGGTTAAAAAATCATCTAACCCCAAACGTGAAGCCACTGAATATACTCCACTTACGCCATTGCACACAGGCCAACAGGAGGATGACAAGTACAAGAGTTGTCAAACAGGAGAGCACTAGTGCTGAAAAGGAAACATCACTCCAAAGCTTCAAGAATTAGAAAATAATAAAAATAAACAGTTGTCATTTTATTTTAGTAACATCTACTAGCTCGAAAGCTTTGTTAACATTTTACTATAAAATGAAATTTTAAATTTTTAAATCGAATCAAGTACGTAAAAAAGTTAAATAAAAACTCAAAGTCTAAAAGCATATATTACACTTAATTAAATTAAATATTTTTAATTTTAACATAACCAAGATTAAATGCACAATTAATTAAAGGCACATTCAAAATTAATTAATCCATCAAACGAACTTGTGGGAGCATTTACATGTGTTTCTTAAACAGAAGATAAATAAATTGAGGATTATTCAAATCTTATCAGTCAAACAGGCAAATCGTAACAACCAGGTTTCTAGCGAAGCGCCGTTGTAACCAAGGTGCTAGCACCTGTTGTGCTTCCTTGCGTTGTTAGCAAAGATAGTTCACTAGATTTGGTTTCACGCAGAAAATATTTGATAAAAAAACGAAACGCTGATATCATATAACGTTATAATGTTATGATGTATTAAATATTCACGGCGTCCTCCGTTGTAAACGACTAACCGATGTAATAAACTCACAACAGCCACGCTATTTAGAAACGTATGCACAGGAACAAAATGGTTTTATAACAATTCTGAGATTTGAGATGAGTTTGAGTTTGAAAAAAAATTGTTTCAAGAATGATTAGGGGAGAGTGGGGATGGTTGAGACAAAGGGTTGGATGGGACAGGTCAATAATAAGAAAATTATGCGCTTTAAGAGTACTCTTTTAGTTTATCTTTTCCGAATATCATGTCATTTATGTTTATCTAAAAGCGGATCAAATTTCATGCACGTTTTTAATTTCCGGACTGAAAAAACTGTTTTTGGACCTCGAAAGTAAAATTTAGGTAATCACATTTTTTCGTTTTATTTTACATTAATTTTGTTTTTTTAAATACATTTGCTATTATTAATTTTATTGTTTATTTAGCGATTCTTCTCGTATAATATTGTCACTTAAACAATGACAATAAAAAAGTTAATAGAACTTTTATAACCTAAACCTCAGTTGGGGATGGTTGAGACAATCATTTAAAGGGTTGAATGAGACATCTCAATCAACCCTGAATAATTAATTATTATGTGTTCTTTATAACTCTTTACCTTTTAGTTATATAATCAGTAAATATAAATTTAGGCTGTTTTGTATTAATTTATCTGATAAATTAATTGAATAAAACATAAATTATTTATGTTTTTTTTTATTTATTTTTATTAGCATTATTTAATTTATTATATTTATTTTGGAAGACATGCCACGAACTCAGATATTTTTGCTAAAGAAGAATTTCTACCATCCAAAGTAACTGAAAAAATTGACGGATTGTGAAGCTGTGAATCCTAACAGTTTGAATAATTTAGAGTCTACAGATCAAGTTTTTTCACAGCAGGATAGTGCCTACAAACCAAGTGAATCATCAAATCCCCAATTGAATAACACTATTGAAACTTGCAAAAATGTTCTTGATGAGATCTCTAAAATATTTAAACCTGAAGACATCAGGCCATTTCTAGTTGCTCCACCTAGGAAACTGAAAGGTAAACACCCCAGGCTAGGTAAAACAAGGATTTTAACAGATACTCCAATTAAAAATGAAATTTCTCAAAAACAAGAAAAAAGAAGGCAAAAAAGAGAAAAAAAAGTAAAATGTGAAAAGAAAAGTTGCAGGCGATTGAAATTTTCAAGCAATTCTGGCAACAAAAATAATGGTGATGATGATGATGCTCTGTGTCTTTATTGTTGCTCTTCATGGTCTTCTTCTACAAATGGTGAAAGCTGGATTAAATGCCAGGGAAAATGTAAAGAATGGGCACATACTGCTTGTGCTGGTATTTCAAAGATAGAACAAAATTTTGTTTGTGAAAAATGCAATTTGAAATAAATATTTTGTCAAAACTTTATTTTTTTCAAATTTATTTTATTTGATTTTGGTGAAATTTAATAACAATTTATCCTATAATATTTTCTAATAATATGTCATAAAATAATGTTTTCTTGCTAATAACTTCTGCAAGCCATAAAACAAAAGCATGGGATATTAACTTTTGAAATATCAATGAGTTAAATGGTGTCTCAAGCATGACTCCTGCTGTCTCAACGAGTACAGTAGCAGGGATGGTTGAGACATTTAGGTACCTGTAAAACTTTTGAAACTGTCGTCTAGAATGACTCACAATGTTGCATGAGGTTATAAAATCTTATTCAGTAGACCCAGCTCTAACTGAAATGCTAAAAAAGTGTTTAATGATGAAGGGCATTACATTTTGTTTACGTTTCTCAAGCATCCCCACTCTCCCCTATATTTTAACTGCTAAACAATTTTTAAATGATATATCCATTTGCAACCATCTTAGAAACCGGTAGTGCTTCATTTTTGTTTCCCCTGCTCAGAATGTTTAACAATGAAATCACTGACCGATTCTATCATGTTTAAAAACATACTAACATATGTAGTTCATTAAATTATCTATTTTCGATTAAATTTCAGGAGGCAATGTGGCAAAATTTGAAAAGTTATTTACAAAATTTAGAAGTTATTTACAAAAATTGCAAAGGAGAGACCTAAAAATTAAGGCAGAAGAATTCGCAAATATATACACAGCTGATCTCAATCAACATTGAAGAATTCAAATTGAAAGTTATAAGCAACACGCTCATGATCATGGATCATGAATTATTTATATATCCACGCTTTGCCAGTTGACAAAAATTTGAAATAAATCATATAAAAATATTAAGTCTCAGTTATTATGACAATTGGAAAAGACTTCTCTAGCATCACCACCGCCTTGAAAATGTTTCTCACGCTGCCTGTCAGAGAGTCATCAGGAGAACGATGTTTTAGTAAACTCAAAATTATCAAGAACTACACGGGAAGTACAATGGTACAGAAGAAACAATCAAATCTGAGTTTAACATCAATTGAACATGAACAAACATCCCTTGTTAACTTTGATGACATACTCAGTACATACATATGCAGCTAAGAAGATTAAAAGAATTTATTTTTAATGTACTGTATTTAGAACCATTCTTTGGTACGTTGCAATACAATAAAGCTTTTCATTTTCTGATGTAATATAACCGCATTGTAATTGTCTTCCAATGTTATGAATACTCTATGTTATGTAATAACATGTATATCAATGTTTTCATAAATAAAACATTTTAATAGCAAGCTTGTTGTATGCAATTTAAACGACTGCATTTAAACACTAGTTTACGCTAATATAACAATTTCTTGCTGGGGGAGGGAACGACAAAACAATCTAGAAACTTTTGAAATTAAATGAAAATGAATATTTTCTTAAATTTTTAAAAAATTGAATCTAATAGTTGAAAAACAAACAAGACATTATCCACAATTTTATATCCCGTTTTTTCGAACTGTCCTAATTTCGCTGTCTGTATCTTTATATGGGCCGAGATTATGGCCTGTACTCCGTGGAGATACCACGGTTGCTCCTAGTTTAGCTATATTTAAAAAACTTATAATTTATCCTTCATGCTCAGACATTTTTATTTCATGCTGTTGATTTTGCAGTCGGTCACAAACGTTTTTGAATTTGATTATACTATAATTATAGATTATAATATGGGTTATAAATTATAATATGGGTTATAAATTATTTTTTATTTCTTCAGACGTTTGATTTTCGTTAGTCTATCTATTCGCTTTATTTATTCTATTTAAATTGTCATTATTATGTCGATTCGAACATTAATTTCAAATATTTATGTTTATTCAATGAACGAACTCATCTAATTATTTTATTTTATTTTTTGTCTATGTCAATAAACATTCTGTTTTCTTTTATTCATTGCAATGACTATTAATCTTAATTTTGTTTGATTATTTTTCATTGTTGTTATGTTGATGTGTTGCTCTGGGTTTATTTTTGAAATAAACAAAAATTTTCGCCCCCATCCAGAAAAATCTACTAGTTCCGGCATTGAAATCAAACTAGCAGAGTTTAATTCAGCGGCGACTAATAAACTGCACCAACCGAGTAGTTTCACACGTGCCAACATCTGGATTTTTAAAAGCGGCATATATATATATATATATATATATATATATATATATATATATATAGTTGTCATAGTGCTTTGATGCTTTTTGTATAATCATAATCATCATCGATATCACGATCAAATTAAATTAAATAAATAGTCGGCGTTTTCCTTTGTTGTTTCATTAGAATCATAGTCATTACCGAATTCGCAAATAAACGAAGAAATTTTTCTTTGATGTGTGTCGTTAGTAACATAACCATCACTGACTTTGCCTTGACGTAAAAAAAATTGTTTTATTGATGTGTTAAAAACATTAAAAAAAATGGCGTTCATTGCTTTTTTAAATTGGATATTAAATTGCTATTTCATTATTTAACTATTTGTATTGGTTTCGCAGGACACTAAAGCGGGGCATGGGGAGCAAAATTCGGTACTGTCCCGCTCAATTCGGGACGGTTGGCCACTATGGTAGTTTATTAATGTTCGGAATAACTTTTTAAATGAATTTTAAATACAGAAAAAAAATTTTCGATATTTTTCGAAATCAAAAAAAGCAAATTTCAAAAATTGTTACATATATTCAAAATCATCACTATCATCTTCTTCGTCATCACAACATTCATCTCCATCATCATCAGTATGAAATTATAACAAACATTCAACAGTAGATTTGATTTAATCAATTGTTTCACCAATTATATACAAATATTCACTTATTTGAATACAGTGCAAAGTTACCGAATTCTGTTGGATATTTAGGTATTTCAGGGTTCTTTTTGTTTAATAAATTTACTATAGGATTATCTTTATTTTGTTTTTTCCATTGGTTTATCCAGCCCTGGAAGCACAGACAGACCCGATAGTTAGGTTTACGCTGACGAAGGTTACATGGCAGTTTTGGTCGGTGGTAGTAGAAATTGGATGACGTGGTTGTTAGTTTCTACTTTCTTGAAAAATTTTGAATCGAATATGTTGACTAAATAAGTGATGATAGGACATGATGAAGGTATGTAGTTGAGCAGAATTAATTTTTTGATGAGAAACTGTAGTTGTTGAAGTTGTTGTTGTGTAGCGAAATCAGACCAGGAAGCTGCACATTTAATGTGCAAGATGATGAGTGATTCAGCGATGTCGAATAATTTGATGCATATGAGACAGATCATATAAGCCGAGTGTTTTGAGTGCGTAAAATGTTTGAAGACCTTTTGTGATGATGCGGTTAAAATGAGGTGCTAATGTTGAGTTAGGAGCATGGAATTATATAATTCAATGGTTTGGAGGATGTAAGTTAGATATAAGTTACTTCATTTCTGCGTCTGTCAGAGTCTATTTATTTCAAGTATATGGTGGTGAGATAGCCAATGTTATTTTTTGTAATGGAAATAAAATTAATATTAATTGCAGTAGACATATATAAAAATGTTTGTACTTGCAGCAGATGTTTGTATTGTATAATATATAATGTATATAAAAAGTTTGTATCTTTGCTAAATTGTTTACAAATATACCGGGACTTTAATATCGCCGTGCCGTCCGAGATCGTAATATATTCATTTGTTGTTGTTAGATGGATTGGACGATTAGAGATACGCTTGTGTTTAAAAAATACGTTGATTTATCTTCAACTTCCGCCATGAAAAATTTCAAACTTTTGATTTGTACATCGCTTTGGGGACTAGTTCTGTCAGCTAGCATCTATGATCTTTTTGTCTTATCGCAGAGTTAGTTTGAGTTGCATTGAAGGGCGCTATATAAATTCTCTAATAATAATAATAGATTTCAATTCTATCAGCCGTGCGAATCGCATGACGACTGAGAACTGGTTGAACTGCCATAAGATAATCCATGCAAATGAAAAAATGCTTAAACATTCTCCAGCTTTCTGAGGAAGTGCCACGCTGAAACATTTTTTAATATAATATTATTATTATTATATAATAATTTAGTTTTCATTATCTTCAATAGTTCAATCATATTAATAGTGTGGTTCATGCTTTTTTTTATTATCTGAGAAAGTTTAATTCAGCGTACAATTTCTACTCTATCTATCAATCTATCTGTATAAATAACTATATGACCTGAGACCGTCCAGTTTACTACTTAGCATCTCAATTATTGAATTATCTGTGTGAGATTTGCATGCCTTACCTTAGCTCTGACTTGTCTATTCCATAGGCACATATGTATTATTATTGATATTGGCTACAAGCTTGAAAAAATTATAATGATACTATAATTATAATAGATTATCATACAATATACATACATAATAGTATAATACTATTAGGATAGTAACAGATGGATGAAGCATAAAAATTTAATAAAAAAGTTAAATGATCAATTATTTTATTTTCTTTCATTCTAACCACCCTCTATCTAGCTCTATGAAAAACAAATTAAGCATTAAGCTAAGCTGGAGATGCATTTAAATTTAAAGCAAAGTGCAAGATTTCTTTTCTTGCTGCATAGTTAGATGTTCTAATTACCTAAATATAAATCTTTTCTGATGTTCAGTTTTTTATATAATTTTTTGTGCCATAAAATAAATAATTTATTGGAATTATCTTAAAACTAAAGGTGTCAAACACAACCCAGACGTTCTAAACAGTTTAGGCGAAGGGTGGTCCTGTCTTAATTCACATGTAATTTGTCATAGTTATTCTGCAAAATTTATTGATTTCTTATCAATATATGTTGTTTCATAGAAAGATTTGTCAGATTTGGATTGGCTTGACATAAAAGAATGTTTAAACTTGAAATGGTGGTTCTTGGGTCAAATTGTTTTATGCTTTTCATGCAGATGCATTTCTATTCCTGTTAGTGTTTCACTTTTTTAATATTGAAAAAATTATAAAACTAAGCTATAATTGTTAAAAGCAAAAAACATCGAGTCATTTGACTTGGCTTGGCTTGTTATTCGTGATGTTCATTGCTGTCTGTCACTTGATTAATTTCTTTAATTTTATTTGGCCAATTTTGAAGGTGAAAAAAGTAATGTACATTATCCTTGGTGTTTTGTTTGTTATATTCAAGATGTCAGAAATAATATTTTTGATTCTGGCAAAGATTTCAATGACATATCTTGTTTCTTGCCTTACACATTCAAAGGTGTGTGTCTGGCTTGTGGCTATATTTCATATGATAATTATCAAATGGCATTACTACCACAGCTCTTATTTAGGTATATATTATTTTTAAAGAATTATTCCAAGTATTTTATTTGTCTTTTTAATCATCCAAATGATTAAAAAATTTTAATGAAACATTTAAGAAAATGACAATGGTCATGACTTGGTTGTGCAGTATTCTACATTGGCGTACACCACAATCAGATGTGTTTACTTTGGTATGTACTTAGTTCAGACTGAAAGTACAAAAAAAATCATGATGTTGCATGAGAGTTGTAGAAAAGACCTGCCATTGAATGAAATAACTGTTAAAAATTTCAAGTACATTTATTACAAACGGCATTTCTGTAAGATTTTAGACTGCTTGTGCTATTGTTTCTATGTGCCTCTTCTTTCATTTGGTCAGATAGTACCTTTTAGTGAATTTAAAACCCAGGTTTGTTTATTCTTTGATGAATTCATCATGATTTTAAACTATAATTACATTTTTCTCTTGAGTATCAATGTTCAATTATATTCTTAATGAATTAGATTAGCACTGTAAAAGGTGGAGTCCCAGATGTGTATGTAGCGGTGAAACTTCTTTCAAAGATTATATTTTGGAGTGTGTTCATGGAATTCAGCAATCATTTTATTTATGCATTTGCCTTATTACACTCTACATATATTCTCTCAGATATGTCACTACTATCTCTAGCCGGCATGGCATATTGGATAAGTCAATTGTTTACAGTGAAGTACATCATTCTGTGGTCATTCACGTCTTTAGTTACTCATTTTGATCACATTCAGACACCTCCTTTGCCCGGATGTACTTCAAAGTTTTTTCATGTGTCTTCAGTCTGGAGGTTAGTTTGTTGCAATAAATTAAAATTTATTTTCAACCATTTCATTTCTAATATTTTAAGTGAATTTTATTTTGTCATATTCTAAAATTTGAGTTTAGCGCAATAAAATTTTAAAATGACATGATAGTTTTTTTAGAATTGCCACCTAAAACAATATTTATTAAATTTTTTACAGAAATTTTGATTCAGGACTTTATAACTTTGTTAAAAGGTAATCATTTGAATATCTTGGTTGACTTTTTAGAAACAAATTAAATGTTTTCAACATTGAAGTCCTTACCGTAGCAAGTTTTATTTGAAACAAATTTGCAGCAACATATACATAACGTTAGGTGGGTCAAGAGAAGGCTTTATGAGGCAGTTATTTGCGTACACTATGTCCTTCTTGTTCCTCTCTTGTTGGCATGGTATGTCTGTAAACATCGTTATGTGGAGCTCACTGAGTTACATATCTATGGTTTTTGAGATGGTGTATATGAAGTATTTGAAGGATCATACCATGAAAGTAAATTGTTTTTATTCCACTTATTTTTTAATGCATCTTATTTTACTTCCAAGTTCATTCAGCGTATTAAATAAGTTTAGTTGTTAATTAGAATTTTTCGCAAACCTGAGTCTGTTGGTATTTTCCCAGATTTTACTACTTTGATGCAAGGTTGTTGTTAATATCAAAGCATCAGAAGCATACCCGATATATTGTTGTCATCTTTAACTCTTGTAACTACCAACACCAATGTTATGACTTCATAGATCTTTATATTTCCTTCACCAGTATTGTAGCTTTCAACAATCATCAAGTTATTGTAATTCTGTAGGTTCAAGATTTCCGATTGATGAAGACAACTGCAAACTTTTTTGAACGTCTGTTTGGATGCCAACAGTAATAGAAACACTAAACTAATCCAAGTAACTACATAAATCACAATTACAACTTTGCTTCAAGCCTAGCTACTGACTTCCCTATTTGCAACCCCTTATATAGCCTCTACAGTGGATTTTTACAATCCTCTATGGTGGGAAAAGATTCTATGGTTTGCAATCAATGACAAATAGCGAAGATATAACAAATATAACAAAATAACAATAATATTCCGGTGGATATAACTATATAAAAGGTGCTATTTGACCAAATAAAAGAAGAGGCACAAATATCTTTTGTATTGGCTGTAGCATCACCAATACTTTTGATTTCGAGTACCGTTATTTTTAACTATGCTTTCATGTATAGAATACCGAGTCACATCATCAAGTGATCTTGCGTTTGTGCTTCTTTCTTTAACTTTTTTTGATTTGTATTTCCCAGCAAACACATTGCTGGGCGAATGTTGCTGATAATCATTACAAAAAATCCTGGCATAAAGATGATGAACAGCTTGTATGATTTTTCATTTATTATAATTTATTTTAATATTCAAACGATTTTTATTCATATAAACAACCTGCGATGTAAACTTTAGAAGCTAGTTAATAATTCAGTCTGTATTTTGTATTTTAAGTTAATTTTTTTGTTTCAGAATTCAATAAAATATTCAGAGAAGTTTCTTGTCGTAGAATGTCTGATTTCTCTGGCAAACTTTCTAATTTTTGCCTACAGTACATTATCATTTTTGGGAAATAGAAGCTTCAGTTCATTATTTTTTCATCAGATTTTTATAAAAAGTAAGTTTGATATGTTAATTATTCTTTTCTCTTTCTTATTTTTTCAACAATAAATAAAATATTTTTTTCTCCATGTTTATTCTATACGGCTTGCAACATGAGTGCCAGACTCGAAAGTTTTTTGCCAGGATTGGTGTCAGAATTTTTTGAGATGTCAGATTGAAATATTTTTCATCCCATCCCACTCCAAAAAGCTCTAAAAAATTCGAAAATTTTTCTTTTTCGTGTTCCGAAGATAATTTTATAAGCTCGTGTTTTTCAGAAGATATATGTGGTTGATGATATGCAATCATCTGAAAAACTGATAACAAATTTTACTTTTATTATGCAAACCCTGCCTGCCTTAAAAAGAATTCCTTCATGATAGAATGACAGAGTTAACGAACTGCTATTGCGTAGGATGTTCAACTGTTTAATGATACTTTTAACCTCTTCTATTAAATTTTGACTTTTCATTCAATATCTTTTATTGTTACTAATTTAGCGAAGTATTTTACCTTTTTTTTTATCAACTATAACAATCGCAATGCCGTTTGAACTGGAATCCTAAAGATATGTTTAATTCAATCAGAATATGTAGGAACGTTTCTTTTTTGATGCTCTTATGAAATTTGCCATCTAAGTTTTTTACATAGTCTTGAACAATAAGCATTACGCAATAATGCAAAAAGTTCCATAATTACTTGTAGTTTTTAAATTTTATAACAAACTTAGGATAAATATAAAATTTAAAAAAAAATAAAAGAATCAACTGATTTCAAACGTTTTTGTAGCGTTTTCCATTTATTAATGTATTAATATTTGTATTAAAAGTAAAGCAAAAACCGAATTTTTTGAGTTGAAAATTTTTCAAGAAGTCCTAGTCCTAGTCGAACAAATTTTGCAACACCAAGCATCCAAAACATCCAAAAAATAATTCCAAGTGGTAGCGAGCCTGTATTTGTCATTGTCTGTTAAAATATCAGCTCAGCAGTTGACTATTTATATTTGATAAATTTGTTTTTACGACATTGAATTACATGACGTTTACATAAAAAAATTTTATCCCCCAATCCAAAGCATTAAAGATCTGACCATGGTTCCTATTTCACCGAAAATTAGCTTTGTTACAAGATCTGATTTTTGAACTTAATGCAGTATTTAATTATTTCACAAATAATTTTTATAGGCTTTCCTTTTGGAACGTTAACATTTCTTCTGGTCACATTTTGTGGGTTGATGACGAACAGATATTTTTTTTACAATGATGATAGATGATGGCAAAATGGTTTGACAACAAACATCTTTCAAATATTCATCGACATGTTGATTAGCGTCAATATCCTTAATCACATTTCCCCTTGATCAGCTTGTTATGACATAACGGTTACCACGAATCACGCAATCTGACTTGGAAAATCCGGTTGCCAAAAGATCTAAATTACATTTTTTCAGTTTTTCGACTGTTTGAAACATTTCAACTCAAAAATTTAGACATTTTTCCTTTAAATAAATGAAATATGACAATTTTAAGAAATTTAGTTATTACATTTCATAGTTAATTATTATTTAATTACTTATTACTTAATTATTTGTTAAATTGTTTAATGTATGTTTCAATTTTTTGTTTTGAAAGAGTCCAACATAACAAATATTATCATAAAATCAACAATAAACTAAAACTAATTATTTATATTATGGTCATGCGGTCATGTAGTCAGTCAGGTATCATTTTATTTAAATCTCAAAATTTACATATCTGCTTAATAACGACTCACATTGGTTTGCTTCAAACCAATTTTTTACTAGGTGGTTCCGAATGTTCCCTGGATTTCTAGTTTTCAATTTTATTAATTTCATCTTACAATTTAAGAAAAATTAAACAAAAGTGGATAATAAACGTTTATATTTACATGAAAACTGGTATATTTACAATCCTTTGTGACTACCTGTTAATGAGGACCACTTTTCAAATGACTAACAAAAAGACAACTGTTAGAAACTTAATATGTCTATTCATTACATCAGTGTCTTGTTGATTACATGATTAAAAATAATTAAAATTATTTAGCCAATTTTTGTTTTATTGGTAAATTGTTATCCATAAGCAGTCAGTCCCCAACAGATCAAAATTGAAAATAAAGAATCTACTAAATAATTGTATTACTCATTCATTGTTTGTCAAGTCTTCAACGCCGTTTTCTTGAAGGTGCGCTCGTAAAATTTGATTTTCTTGTTTCAGTTCTTCAAGCTGGTCGCTCATTTGTACCAGCTGCGATTTCACTTCTTCAAATTCTTTCAAACTCTCTTCAAGTTCTTGATTTTCTGCCTGCAGTTCTGCAATATACTCACACGCTTTCGACAAAATACCTCCTTTGCTCTGTCAATGTCATTATCATTATTCATTAAGTTTTTAGTCAATCATCTGTTTACACGTGTCACTCAATTTACGTTATTCACAATGTAAATTCATAGTAGTAAAAATTGAATATATGCTGCTTGTTTTTTGCCAAAATTTGTTCGAGTTTTCTGTGAAAGTCTAGAGATAAAAATTATGGAAAACCCATAACAAATATACTGTTGTTTGCCTAAAAATTCTAAAAATAAAGATGAAGAGTATTATTACTAACGTCAGGTTGCTTTGGATGATCAGGTGAACAGTCAGGTATGAGTTTGGCTAATTGAATTATCCATCCATTAATTTTGTCTCTTCTGCGTCGTTCAACTGGATGGTGATGAAAAAACATTTAGTCATCTAAAATCATAATGCTGCATGCTAGCAGAAACCCATGACTCTTAGTTATGTTTAGCCATTTTTTATTATCTAAATCCTCTATTCGTTTTCATCTAATTTGATTGTTCAACCCATTATACAATTGTCCATCTTGTGCCATCTAACCTCATTCTCGTTCGGGCATTTAACCACTTTTGATCATTCAGACATTCAACAGCGTATAATAATTATTTCACAACATTAAAAAAATCATTCCAATAACCTTCCTTGTGAGTCAATTTCCTCCTATCATCTCTGGAGGCCTTTGCAACAGGTTCTGACTTCACCATATTTCGAGGAATTATTGATCGTTGATTTGTTGATTGAGGAGCAACCATTAAATATATCGGACCTTCTGTATCATTTATATTATTAACATTAACCGTTACACGGAAGTAATTTAAGATACCTTAATTCAAATTTGTATGCAATCCTGTTATCCCTTAACCTTAGACTAAATAAAATTTAATTTGGTAACATTTTCTATGCCATAATGAACGTGTGAAACGAGTATAAAGGTGTGCGTTTTTGAACGGTCAAAATCATAATGGAAACGCAAAATCATGTTCAAGAAAAATATACCGATATTTTTAAAAGTTTTTAAGAGCTTTCTTCTTCAACAAGACAAAGCAATAACTACTGTGCCTTCAAAGATAAATCCTTAAACGTGCTCTACAAATTTATATATATATATATAAATGCGTGCGTGCGTGTGCGTCTGTGTACAAGAGATAACGAGTGCGCATACAAATGATAATAGATAAAACAAGTATTACGAAACAAAAAGAAAAACAAATGTCTGCAGAGTAGAGTGGATTGTATAATTGCATTCTACTGTCCAGATAACGTCAATAAATTATGATAATGATAAATGATAAATTATGATAACACAAACTTGAACTGTTTGTGGCATTTGAAGTTGTTTCTATAGTTGACTGTACGTTAGATGTCGGCATGTAGGTGAACCTGTTGACAAGGATTACTTCAACGTAATATTTATTCATTTATTTGTTCTGCAATAAACAATTAAACTCCATTTAAAATCTATTCCAATTCAATGATTTTTTATCACATGTTCTTTACTCAAAACTTTATTTTTGATGATTCAGCTAAAAAAAGATGAAAGTAACCTTGTAGGTTGAGTGTCGCTTGATGAGGAAACCTCATCAGCTCTGCCCGCCTGCAAACCTTCCAGTATTGTCTGTCGTGCATCAACAAAGAGCAAACATTACATTAATATTACTTATGATGTTAATAACGTAATTAAATTTTAAAATGCATTAAACCACTACAATTCAAAAAACAAAATGAAATAATAGAATACACGAATCAACGGAAACCTGGTTGGAGGACAGGTTGGACATAAGTTGTTGTACTTCATCAGAGGATGCCACTTGCACCACCCTGTATGTTACTGTGTGGTGTTGTTTCATTGTGCGTTCATCATTTGCTCAATCAGTCAATTATTCAGTCATCCATATATTTTATTGCAGAGTTGTTAATGACATTTCAGAAAGGTATCGTGCCCAATAAATATTGCAGATGTAAACAACACAAATTTTTAAAAGTATCGCCAATATAGATACTTTAATTTTTACCCTACTTTTTGAAAACATTGTTGAACAAAGTATAAAAACATGCCTTTACGAAGTTGAATATGATTTCAGACGAAACTATTACAAAAAAATTTATTCAACATGTCTTAAGAATATATCACTATAAAATTTAAAAATCAATCACCGCTTCACTAAAAAATTTTCGGGAAGAAACAAAATCTTTTTATTTCCACTACAATGATATAAACTTGAAACTCTGCTACAAATAAAACTGTACAAGCGATAAGTGTTGCATTCATATCAAGAGTCCACAGAGTGATGAACAGTAAAAAATATTGAAGCACTTTTCTAAGTATCAGAATACTGTTTGCTTTATTGATATTATGAAGTATTGTACTTTAAAATTTTGTACTATAACAATAGCAATTCAGAGCATAGTAAAAAAGTCATTGAACAATCTTATTCACCTGAATCACCGTGAAACTGGTATTGGCCGTTTGAATCAAGTGTTAAGGCAATGGCATTTGAATCATCTAAATCTGTAAAGTAGTCAGCATTAATGTTATTGATTAAAAGAATATGTTTTAATGGCAGATACAGTTCCTAAGTGTTTTAATTAGGTACGAATACCTTGAATTAAAAAACGAGCAACAATTCAAAATATTGTTTAATCAGTTAGAATGATGTAATGTTGTCAATTTGGTTTTAGTTCAGTGGTCAATTTGACACCAACCTTCAAATGTGATTTCCACTTCATCCTGGCCATTCACCAAATTCACTTTTTCCCTAATGAAAGAATAAAATAATTAAGTTACACTTCATCAGTGAGATTTAATATCAGGAATTTTAACATCTGAAGGAAAAAGCATGTATTTCATAGTAAATTAATGTCACTTTAATAAAAGATCATGTATTAAAAAAGTTATAGTTGATGTATATTGATAAATATTTTTCAAGTACTTTTCATCTTGCCTTTCTTTCCTAATATTGTCAAACCAGCTTGCATACTTTATTACCTTTTGTATGTAGTCAACTATAATCATTTTTTACAATCTCGATGTTGGTCCTTCGACTTAACAAACTTCTGAAGAACTTTTTAATCAGTAGTACTCAACAACATCTAATTCAAAAAAATTCAAAACTATTACTTTCTACATCATACACTTTTTAATGTTTCCTTCTACTGGATGATTTAAAAATATATTTGGAAAGCCTAGATTAAATACCTGACATAATCGCATTAAATTAAGTTAACCCCAAGAATTTCAGTACAAATAGAACTTTGTCAGAAATCAATCTTGCTTCTCTTCAGAGTTTACTAAGATCAATTGGTTTGCTACTGTTTCATAAAAAAATCATTAGCAATTTAAGAAGTTGCCACAAATTCAACTTTCAGAGAGTATATTTCAGTTAAAATCTGCATTTCCAACAAGTTTTTCAACATTTTGTTCACCTACAAATGGAAATACAACAAAATGTTATCACTTATATATGATAGGCTAGCACTGTCTGTGAATTTTTTAATGATGGGTGACTTCAATTTTCCTGAGATTGACTGGGTTTCATTCAGTTGCAGGGGTAATAACGAAAAGATGGAGAATAGATTTTTCAAATATTAAGAAGGAAAAATTTTTGTTACAACCGACAAGATTTAGAGATCCTCAAACTGCAAACATCTTAGATTTTGTGATATCAAATCAGGAATTTATTAAAAACAAAATACATTTTTACATTTTCCATCACTAGGAAATAGTGATCACTCAGTTGTTAGTTTCAAGATCACTGGGTTAGTGATTACAATGTGAAAAGTAAGAAAAAGTTTTGTCATGGTTAGGGAAATAACATGGGTTTCAGAAGTGTCCTGTCACAAGCAATGAAAGTTCCATCTGCTTTAACTGGAGGTGCAGACACAGTAGGCGGAAATTTTTTATAGTCAAAACGACCACATGTACTCTAGAATTTGTTTAAAAAAAGAAGAGCACTAATTATAAATTTAAAGTGAATAATAAACTCAATGAGTTGATCAAACAAAACCATTTACTCCGGAGGTCTAAATATAGATACGGTGAGGAAAAAATAGAAATGTATTGTCCAATCAGAGGAAAAATTAAAAAAATGTACAAGTGAGTTGAAACAACAAACTCAGGATAGAATTGCCAGAGAATATAACAATAAACCCAGAAGTTAGTAATTTTTGGTAATTTCAATATAATTTCAAATTGTTGGCATGTAATTTTTTGACGTATCTATCTATAAAATCCAGGAGAGTAACATTTATGCATGTAAATCGTTAATTTAATTAAATTTAGGTTTATTATATCAAGAAAGTAACTTAGTGGTTAAATTCGTCTACTAGTTCTCTGCCTGTTGATTGGTTATTGACTGTAGCTGTAATTATGTCAGCATACAATAAAATGTGTAGAGTTTGTGATTGCAAAATTAAAGGTAGGGAGAAAGAATTACAATGTTGTAAATATAAAAATTTTGTGCACAATAAATGTGTAAACATTCAGGAGAGCTGTTTACAGACCTTCAAAAGTTAAATATATAGTTTAATATTTATTGTATTGAATATTTAGAAGTTTTGAAAAAACTGGATACAATACCCATGATGACGATTGATTTTAAAAAAATTAGTGCAGCAAACAAATAGCTGGCAACTGGCAAGGAGCACATTAAACAAAAGTTAATTAATGCTGAAAAACAAGTAGTTTCTAGTGTTGAACTAATTAATGAAATGAAAATGATGAAAAGTGAAGTGAACCTGACTTTTGCTGATGATGTAGAAGGTGAAAATACAAAGGAACTAATAGAGGTGAATTCAAAAGTATGGAATGTTACTAAAAAATAGATGAGAATGAACAAAGAGAAAGGGAGAACAATTTGATAATATCTGGACTTTTTTACAACAGAAAAAATTGATGTTTTAAAAATATGACAAATATTGTCAAATTAGTGAACTAGATGATTTTTAAAATGAAGAAAGTTATGAAAAGCTTTGACTTGTGACAAGCACAAAGTGGATAAGATAAGTTCACCCCGCTAAGACCTAACAAAAAGGAAAAATTTAAATATCCTAGACAAATACCATTGGCCTTTGTTTACAAATGTCTTTTAAAAATAATAAATAATAAACTAAAAAATAAATACTGAAAAAACCAAGGACTGACCTTGGTTTTGCACTAGTACGATTGGGTTGTTAGGTAAGTAAGTTATTATAAATATAATATAATAAAAATAAGTTGTTTAAAATAATAAAAAGTATAGAAAAATAGTTAATTCAAATTTTAAATTTAATAAAAAAATAGACTGATAGAGACATTATTGACTATTCCCGCTTATTTATAGAATTATTAGGACTATTCCCTTTAAAAATTAAGTATCAGTGTGTACACTGTGTAGTATGCATTGTAGGTAGGTAGAGTTTAGAGTTTTTAGTTATATTATAATATTATATTTTTTATAAGATTATAATTATAATAGGTACAATTTTATGATATACGCCATTCCTGTAAGTTACCAAAAAATTGACAATGAAAAATGGCAGCCAAATAACATTACAAATTATCAGCAGCTGATAAAATCAGCTAAAACAATTACAGAATATTAAATAAAAATTAAATTAAATGAAACGTACTCGGAACTCATCTGACTATCGAACACGACGTCCATGATGATCACGAGACCAAAATATTGACGATCACGAGACCAGAATAAAAATGATCATGTGAGTACTTCGCTTATTTTATTCACCGTTTCAACGTCTACAACGGTTTGGCTATTTTTTTATAAGTTCAAGGCCAAAAAATAAATATAAGCCAAACAAAGACTCTCAATAACTAAATGATAAATAGCATGGAATTGTATATAAGAAATTGAGATGTGTAACTGGAAACTATTTTACCTTTGGAGGGCCACATATGTATATAAATGCACAATTTTTCAACCGGGGGGAGGGGAAATTTTAAGATGGTGATCCGAGGCTAACGACTTTTTTGCGTCATAATGTCATTTTCATATTTTTGTAAAAATGCGTACAAGATCTCGCAGGCCGTATAAAATGGCTCAATGGGCCGTTGTTTGCCCAGCCCTAGTGTATACGTCTGAACTAAAATCATTTTTCTTTTTGTATAAAATATAATACACAAAAATCTATAATTAAGATAAGTGATAATGAACATGTTGTGAAACGAGGCAATTGACTAGCGATGTCAAAATTAGTTAGTTAGTCAGTCAGTCAGTCAGTCAGTCAGTCAGTCAGTCAGTCAGTCAGTCAGTCAGTCAGTCAGTCAGTCAGTCAGTCAGTCAGTCAGTCAGTCAGTCAGTCAGTCAGTCAGTCAGTCAGTCAGTCAGTCAGTCAGTCAGTCAGTCAGTCAGTCAGTCAGTCAGTCAGTCAGTCAGTCAGTCAGTCAGTCAGTCAGTCAGTCAGTCAGTCAGTCAGTCAGTCAGTCAGTCAGTCAGTCAGTCAGTCAGTCAGTCAGTCAGTCAGTCAGTCAGTCAGTCAGTCAGTCAGTCAGTCAGTCAGTAAGTCAGTCAGTCAGTCAGTCAGTCAGTCAATCAATTAGCTTATAAAGCGCTATTTCCGCGATTTTCAACAGCGTTCTTCAATGAATTTTGCAAACAGATGGGTCTTGAGATCCGCTCTGAACTTCGTAAGTGATGTAGAAGTAGTCAGAGAAGTAGGGAGAGAATTCCAAAGAAAAAGACCAGAAAAAGCAAAAGCAGATTTAGCAAAAGAATATTTAACGCGAGTTAAGAAGAAGTGAAAACATTAAGAAGACGATCGTAAACCGGGGCGTTTAAGTTAAATTAATATATCTGAAATAATAAGTCATTAGGAAATAATTTAGATTGAGACTTACACCTAAATGTTCAAATTTTAAAAATTGTTCTATATTTTTTAGGTAGCCAATGTAAGAGAACAAGATATGGAGATGTATGAGAAAAGAAAGGGAACAACTAAACGAGCAGCAGAGTTGAAAGCTTTTACTTAAAGGATAGAGTGTAGAATCAGGAAGCAACAATCTTCTGTTTAAAATTTTTTAGATGAATGTTGTTTACTGAATGATTGGCGCTTAAATTGTTATATCAGCATATTTTTTTTTATACTAATTTGCATTCAAGCTAACTGACTATATTGACGATGCCTTGCATTCAATATTTCTAAATTTGTTGCACCAAAATAATGACCAAGCAAATCCGGTGGTCTTCACTTTCAGCGCCATTTTTTAAAAACAATAAATATAAAGTTAGATCATACAAATCATACGGTTTATAATACAATATCCATTGCAAATTCAAACCATATTAATCTAAATTCCTAACATTTTAATCTTGGTCTAGAAAACGAAACTAAAGATCGATTTGGTTATTTTCATTTTTCGTTTTATGAAACTAAAACTGTACGTACCTGCATTCATGGACTGTTTTTGAGATTTGAAATGTGAATTTGTTCGACTGGTTGTGTCTGCGGTCTGTGACTGAGACTTGAATGAAGATTTATTCAATCAAAATTTAACCAACCCATTTTAATTTGAATTTATTTTTTCAAGAGTGGAGTAGAGAAGTTTGTACTGGTAGTGTTTAATACAAAACGTTTATTCGTGAATTAACATTGTTAAGTCGTTAACAAGTTGATAAGTCGTTAACAACCTAACTGACAACGATGTCGATGATGGTTTGCAAAGAGGGTCAAGTTTCGTTTTTGCCTTCAGAAGGTTTTATTTTTACTATATTTTATGAGACTACAAATTATGAGTGCATTGGCACCCAAATTAATTAGGAATTAATTTTAAAAAATCTTAACTTTAAATTAAGTTTAACAGTTAACTTCAATTTTAATTAAGATTAAGCCAAGGTCTTAGTCTTATCTTAAAAAATATATTTTTTTTTAGATTGACTGTCTTATTATTTATCCTATGACAAATTGTTTTATCCTAATATAATCATCAACTTCATCATAATGAAAAAATGGATAATTTTGCTATTATAATAAATAATTATTACTAAACAACTTCATCATACCTTAAATTAAAATAAAATCATCTCTTTTTAGGAGAAATTATATTAAAGAATCGACAAAAGCTGACCTTTTCTTCTGCAGCCAATTATTTTTTTTATAATAAAATTCTTATTTGCAGAGGTATTTTTATTCTGTTATCCAAAGTTGTTGCTATTGACATTTTTAAACATTTTTTGTAAAATTTTTGTTTTTAAATTAACTAAAAAGATTGGTACCTAATTTTTCAAAATCTTAATTGATTCAGTTTGTGTACTTATTGACAGAAATACAAGCACTTGAAAGAAGATTAGCTGCTGTAAAGCGTCAAGTAACATATTTACAAAATGGTTCTCCACTTTTTTTCCTTATTAATTTGAAAAATTAATAAATTTGTATTTGCAATCAAGGTGCCCAACAATGCGATGAGGTGACCTCACAACTAGAAGGTCTCTCTCTGAAACTCACAAAAAAGAGTAATGAACAATTTTTGAACTATGAATCAAGAAATGATTTTATTGAATTGGTTAATCAGTTAATGGATAGATCCAATACAGGTAGCAACAGCTGAGATATTTTTCTACAATTTTCATCGCAAATGATATTTTCAAATTTTTTATTGTATCTGATTTGATCAGTAAATCTAAATTAATTGCATTTGCTTTTTTAAATGTAAAAATTATTAAATTGGTGTATCAACTATTACTTTTTTATTTTTCTTGAATTATTCAGGAATAAATGATGTGGAACTTTCAAAAGAGGATAACATTAAAATGTTGAATTTATTTTTAAAGTTGTATAACGATATGTTATCTTTGGACATCACTTTTAAAAGTAAACCACTCAATTAATTGAAGCTTATTTAGTGCAATAACGTTAAAATTAATAAAAAACCACAGAACAAATAATTGAAATAAGATTCACGAACATCAACAAGAATGATCCGCAGAAAGAATTTGTACTCGCTCTTAATGTTGGATATTCGTTTACTGTTAAACGTTAGTTTTTTTGCTGACCAAACTTTACATTGGATTGCATTTAAATTTACCAGTCTTTTTAAATTTATATTTTGGAAATCTTCATTTTCACATTGTTAATTTCAATGAAAAAGTTACAATTCCAAATTTTTCAATGTTGTTTTAATTTAAATCATTTTGTATCGTCTCATAAATTGGTTTTCTTATAATACTGATTTACTAACAAAAACGTTTATCGTTTGATAACCAAATTTTTGATAACCAGGCTGTTGCCCGAAGATTGAGAAGATCGATAAACTTCTTCTGACACTCAATCTCACTGCTGACTGGCACTCATTTGTTGTTTCAGTTAGGAAGCATTTCATGAACACAGTCAAATAAGATAATGCCTTTTGTGTGTGCGTGCGTGTGTGTGTGCGTGTGTGTTCGTTTTCACATTGTAATATATTTTTACATTGGTGCATGCATTTTTGCATGATATGCATATAAAACCCATAATGACTGTAAAATGGACTGATATGATGCTTTTTGTTGGCGAGAGATCAGTTTCTAGTGCATAGTGGCTGTCATTTATCTTGATGCACATTTTAACTTGTGCTTGCCGTATCCCATTCATTTTTCAATTCAGTTCTGTCTCATGTTAACATTTGTTTATAATATTTTGTAGTTAAAAACTGCTTTACCGTTTTTCAAAGTTAAGTTGGTTTCAAATTTTTTTTTCGAAATACCCATCATGCAATATATATATATATATATATATATATATATATATATATATATATAAATTGGAGGTCAATTTGGAAAGGTGTACACAGCCATCAATCTTGATAATGACATGGAATATTTACATATTCAGCCTATACAACCAAAGTATGTGTTGATTCTTGTACATGAAGAACCTTGCAATAAGTTACTCTCATTTCTTCAGAGTGAAAAATTCATCCAGCTATTAAGTAGTTGTATATCATCTAATCAAATTCTTAAGACTTAATTACTTTCCTTTGTATAAGTTACTCATTGTACTAGTTCATTGCTAACATTTCTTCACGTTTTCTCATTTTATCCACGCAGTGACGGATCACCAGTTTTAAGGTTGAGGGATACGTTCTAAGTTTACAGTAGTCAATGACCTTTCTTTCATTTATCATATTTGTTTACATTATTTAATTACTCACTGTCATTTGTTACTGGTTACTTTTTTCAAGTAATATATTGTGGTGCAAAAATATGTTACGGATATAAAAAAATTTGGCTTGAGAGGTGTGTGGACAAATTTTAACTAGTTATTTAGTTTAGTTATATACTAGTTATATTTAAATCATTTCTCAACCCCCGCCTTAATCATCCAGCAATCAAATCATTATTACAAGACCATTTCACTATTCTCCCTACAGGATCATCAATAGCTAATCACATGTCTCTTACATCAGCAGTCACCTCATTGATTAATGATAATAAATTCGTTCATCTTTTTGCAATAGATTTTTTCAAAGATTTAATCTAATCTCTTTCTTAATAAGTAGAAATCACTCTACCTGCTTCAACTTTATATGCTCAGCTCAAGTGCCGTTCAAGTTTCTGCTTGGGGCTCCCAACATTCGTCATCAATGCTTCTATTTTATACCTACAACCCAACAAAATCGTCAAATACGCAGACGACACATCTAACCATGCCATCTTGGATTCACTATCTTCATAGTCTCAACCGTCCAAGCTCACTTAATTTTAATACGTTTGAATTAATCATCCATAAATATCATGAGAAAATCACATTTTAACCAAGCCACCCATCAATCACCCACATGGGTCAATTGAAAATCTTTAGGCGTCACATTCACTTCAACAGTTAACATAGCTCCTCGTATCCATCACATCGGTAGAAGGCTCCAAACCTTCCATACTCTCAAATCTATCCGCGCACATGGACTTACAGGCACCAAACTTCCTGACGTTACTAAGTCCTATTATTCTTGCTTATTAATTATGCCGCTCCCTCCAGATTTAGTTTTGTCACAAAGCAACATCAAAATAAAATCAAACATTAACCTTTTTTTGTTTTTTTTTTATATAATTTAATTTATTTTTCAGATTTTCTCGATAGTTTGTTTGATTTTGTTTTTAACATTACGTTTGTTTTTTTGATTTGGAGCACTACAAGCCTATTCAGGCTTCTGGTCTTGAATTCATCCGATGAATGTCCCAAAAAATGTTTATATGTTGTTTTAAGTTATGCGTCTGCGTTTTGGTGGCCTTTTGTAATAATGGGTGAATGGCATGATTAATGTTTGATTTTATTTTTTTGAATAGGCGTAAGTCAAGCGTAAGTATGTGCTACGTTTGGGTAAGATGTTGGTAGATATTGCTGGCGTGTTAGTTTGCTGATGAGTGATAGTAGTAGCTGTTGCTTTGTGGCCAACGCTTTGCAATGGATGAAGAAACTGGTACTGCTAAACCATTTGCAGCCCTGGCGGCTTTGATAGTCATCGAATTTAAAGATGTACAATAAAATGTTCGGATGTGACCTGTATGCGACCGCTCTATCATTGGAATACGCTGAATTGCTTGCTCTTGGAAACATTAGTGGTCTTCATAAAATGTCATAGCTGGAAGCTTTCATGCATCATCAGACTCGTACATAAATGTGACAATAATATTGGCTCGAATTTTGGCTGCTAAACCGCAAAAAGCGCTGATTTTGAGAGGTTAAAAATTTCCAAAACAACACAGTTGTGAAACTATGCAGTTGAATGAGTGATATAATTAAAATAGAGATTATAGTATGAGTATAAAATATTGCAATTTTGGTGAGATTTGTTAGCTATTCAAGTAAACAAAAGGTTATTAATATAACATTATTTTTAACCAAGTGAACAATTATCATATAAGAGTCTAATTGAAGATAACAAATCATCAATGTTAGTGTTTTTTCTAGCACTAATTGCGTGTATCTTATATTTGTAATCTTTTAAATTTGAACAGAATTTCTCAAAATTAGTGTTACTCATGGGCAAGTCTATTTTGTTTCCAACAATTAGATGGGGCTTCTCTGACAAACCTGCACGGTATTTCTCTAATTCATTTTTTAAAACATCCAGCTGCGCAATAGCATCTTTGTAAGACAGATCAATAACATATATAAGGCTTTTGCATTGCTCGACATGTCGTAAAAATGAAAATCCCAGACCTCTGTTTAAATGAGCACCTTCAACTAGACCTGGTATGTCTGCAACTGTATTGGTTATTTTATAAATTAACTATTATTCCAAACTAGGCATGCCAGTGAATCAAATAAAATATACTTGAAACTTGCTCATGATCATCATAATTAACGATTCCTAAATGAGGGTAGAGTGTTGTAAATGGATAGCAACCAATTTTCGGTCTTGCCCTGGTTAGACATCTCAGTAAGGTCGATTTTCCAGCATTAGGAAATCCAACCTATAAAATAAAATGTTTCCCAACTTATTTTGAGGCTAATTGTTAGATATGGAAGACAAAAAATTAAAAACCCAACCAAGCCAATGTGGGCAATGATTCTCATTTCTGCATAATAAACCTTTTCTTCCCCAAAGCCACCCTCTTCATAAGTGGTTGGTGCACGGTTATCATTACTAAGAAAAAAATAATTCCCTTTTCCACCAGCTCCTCCTCTGGCAGCCACAAACATGTCGCCAGACTTAGCTAGATCAGCAAGCACATCAGAATTTTCATTCCTGAAAAATGTCCCGACTGGAACCTTTGTTTTATAGAAACATTCAAGTGAAACTATTATTTCGAATGTCTAAACAATAAAAGACAAACTTTGACAATAGTTGGTTCTGCATTTTTGCCATGACAATGTTTGCTTTGTCCTCTACTGCCTTGTTCACCCTTATATATTGGATAGACTTTTGACAGTGACTTGGTGTTCACATCAGCTAAATATAAACATTCACAAAACAAAATGAAAATTTTTAGTTGAATCAATGCAAGAAAAGAGAACACTTTTCAGTTTTCAACATTTGATTGTTACCAAATAAATTTTAAATATCTAACAAATAATTGTCAACGGTTACAGTAAATTATTTAACTATCCTTTTCACAAAAACAAAACCTTGAAAAACAATATGTCCTCCATTTCCACCATCTCCGCCATCAGGACCAGCATACTCATTTTTAAATAAACTTAAAAATGACATGCAACCATTCCCTCCTTTACCGCCAATTACACGAATTCTTTTAAAATCTACAAAATGTTTTGCCTTGATAAAATAAAAAATACACAATAAAATATATTTAGTTAGGCTTAGCTTTGCTCAGCGTAAAATAATTATTTTTAAAAATTTGTACAAAAATTATTAATATTATTAAAATAATTCCTTAAAATTATGATAGTAAATAAAACCTTTTCAATTTCAATCTTAGCTAACTTAATTAAATTCTAAAAATATCGAATATCCATTCCAAGTCGAAAACGGGTCTGACCAATTGACTGAGTGGCTTTACTGATAGGCTGAGTGGTTTTAATGGCTCTACTAGGTGAGCAGCTTATTGCATAAAAATCGTTAACCAATGGCAACAGGTTTTAAAGTTTGTCATTATTATGTCGGCTAATTGTAATTGTGAATATTCTAATAATATTCGCTATCGGCTACTATAATATCCCAATCAGCCGTCATAATAAGCAAACATAATATTCACAGTCTGCGCTCGTCCCAACCGGCCTACATAATATACACACAATTAATTGGCCAAAATAATATTTCCAATCAGCCAACATGAAATCCCCTAACTTCAAAGATTATTGTTACTCAGTTTACTGCCACTTACTGACAATTCTAATGCAATAAGTCACTCAACCAACAAAGCCACTCAGTAAATTGGTCAGACCTGTCCAAGACAAGTTACTAGTAACCGGTAAAATAAATTTGTTAGCCTTATCTTATATAATAAATGCCAAATGGTTATTAGTTAGTGTAGCTGTAGTATGGTCACAACCAATCAAGTTACTTGTCAAAAACATAAAACAGCAAACTATCAAAAATCATGTAATTTTAAAACTACTACTAATAATAAATAATAATTTTAACTATTTATTTATAAAATAAATTATTGTTTAATCGTTTTCTCTCAATTTCATTATTGTTGATTATTGGGATCAATCACACCTGGGCCTTTTCTGAGCTTAGCAGCTTAAGATTGGACTTGGTGCAGAATGGCTTCTTAGAAAGAGTTGCAAGCAGACGATGGCAATCTTTTGAAAGATTCAATAAATCTTTAAGCAACATCATCGATTGATGGTCATATATTATTATAATTATACTGTTGCACGACACAGGATACGATGCAGAAAAATTACTTGAATGTGTTTTCTTTTACGTTTATACAAGTGAAAAAACACTAAAAGTGAATTGTATCATAAAATGGGTTGGATTGTTTTTTAAATGAAAGTTTTCTTAAATTTCTCAGAATAAGAATATGAAATACATGCCATGATACTTTTTAAGACATTAAGACATTTAAGATTATTATTATTATTTTGAATTTAGTAAAGAAATGATATATACATACATATATATATATATATATATATATATATATATACAACAATAAATAAGAGAATAAACAAGCAATAGATTATTAACGCCATTACTTAAACTAGAGTAAAGCAAAATATTCAGACATACAAGAAATACCAAAATGTCCATTAACACATAACATGACGAGTTTACCGTAGGTCGAAGAGTTGCTTGTCAAAACATATTTCATTTCACAGAAACATTAACAAATTAATTATATATGCAAACCATTCAAATTTTTTATTCAAACCATTCAAACCCAAACCTATTCAATCAAACTATATTTATTACAATATATCTATTATGATTGAAATTAAAAACAATTAATAAATTCGAAAGAACAAATACTTTCTATGTGTTGTAGACGTTTTTGTCTGGCAGACTCCGATACTTGACCGGTATGTAGTATCGTAGCATCGCTGAAAATTTTCGTGTTGTAAATCGCAGTCTTTTTTTTTCTTGGTCGTTAGTAGTGGTTGCTCAGTTGATTTGTAATTTTTTTACTTCGCAGACGTCTATCTCATATTTCGCTTTCGTACAAAATGGATGAAGGTTGGCAGTTTAACTATTTAAATATTATTATAAACTCTTTTGCTTGTGATTTATAAACTCTATTTCATTCAAGCTTCAGTCACACTATTCTGCTAGCTATTCTAACTTTTTCATCCATCTCTATTCCATTCCACTCACCACTGGCTTCTATGGATGCAAAATAGAATGATTCATTCATCTATTATTGCTGTATTAAAAATTTTGTGCAAGTGAATTTTTTCTATTTCAATTTTAAATTTGTTTATTTTAAACTTTCATCCTGTTGAGTTGATGTTTTCATTTTGTTACAGTTACAATTTACATGAGTTACATATTCATGATGAAGATGATAACAATTTATTATATTATATAATTATTATATTATTATTTATATTATAGATAGACAATAGTCAATATTTATATTTAATATTACAATACTTGATATGCAATGTTGATGTTGTGTTTTGTTTCAAAAATGGAGATGAGATGCTTATTTTCAATGTTTAAAAATTTGTTTTATAAAATTTTTTATATATTTATAGTCATAACTAGTTATAATTTAACATAAATTCCTTTTAATATTGCACTTCAACATTATACACTTTGTTACTGATTACATTAATGTTTACAGCACATTAATGAAATAATTAATTATTAATAATGTTCACACCAGGTTGTGATACAATTGATCTTATTATTAGTTTCCATATTCACTCAGTAGTTCCAACATACTGATTTATGATATCATGCAATTGTTAACATTTGATAACCTTGGAAGATTCATTCTAACTGAATGTACACTTTAATTGGAAAATTATAATTTGAAATCATTATCTGTTGTATTAGCTTTTTATTATGTACTATTTTTTTTATTTCAATGGGCTGTTAAGTGTTACATCTATTTTAGTTGGTCACTATAGCTCTATTGATCTTTAGAAGTTGTTCTTATGACAACTGAATTATTGTGGAATTTTAAAATTGAGAATTAGAATAGAGTTTAGAAAGGATAGAGTTGTAGAATTTTATAATCTTACAGATTTTAAATATTCTAGTCTGTTTCTCCTTCACTCATATATTCATTCATTTATTTTTTTATCTATTCGTGTCTAACTTTTTTCAGAAATTGTAATGACGCCATCTAAAAATGGAGACACAACGATTATAAACATAGAAAAGATTAAGAAGACCCTACTAGATGAATCACAGGTGGCCCATAAAGCAGGTGGACAGCATAGCGGATTGGTCATCAACAAGCAGCAAGCATCAGGTTAGGTATTTTTCATTTGTTAGATAAATATCTGCATCTAGTCGGATGATGTTTACAATATTTTAATATTGCTAGCACTCACGAAACTCACAATCACAAGCAACATTGGTTTACAGATATTTTTTGATGTTTTTGCTGATCAGTTGTTACTGATCAGATTGGCTAGTGTACTGTAACTTAATTTCAAATTTTGTTTTGCAGTTGAGAGTGGCACTGATGTCCATCCGCATCTTCAACTTGAATTCAAATGTTTTCTCGTTGACCAGAAGTCAGGCAAACATATTCCTGTAGGTTATTTTTAATTTATTCATTCTTGATAAACTTCTTGCATGGATTATTTATTAAATGAATTGATAGCATGTGCAGTGCTATTCTCGATTATAAGTATCCAATGTCTAACTTTTAAATGAAAAAGTTTCAAAATTATAATTGTTTTCCAAGTTTTACATTATGTTTTTAATAACCGTCACCCTGGCCCTAATAACTTTATGATCAGTAGAACTAGGAAAGTAATAATTAACCTGGGTGATCTGTTTAATTTGTTTGAATGTCTAACTTAATATTCAAACCTTCTTACCTAGTTTGTTCACTTATGATCAACTTTTATAATTCTGTTAACATATTGTTATAATACTCGCTATCGTAACCGATTTACGATGCGACGGGTTCAAATCCTCGATTGAATAAAATATTCCAAACAGTTATTAAACTTTATTTACAGAAGAAATCAACTATTATTAGTTATTAAACTTTATTTACAGAAGAAATCAACTAATCGTTTATTTCCAGTAAGTTCAAACTAACGCAACAATTAACTTTTAAATCGTTCAAAATCGATCGCTATGACAACGTCAACAAACAAATCAAATATCGCTTTAAATAATTCACCGAATCGCTATTCACAAAATCACGAATTTCACTAATCACGAATATCACTAATCACGAATATCACTAATCACGAATATCACTAATCAAGAATCTCTTGCGACGTGCGCTTAGATACTCTTCGCAATCGTCGTTTCTAGATTCTTCCAGATGGTCCGATTCCAGTATACTCTAGAACGTTCCAGTCACTAGAACATTCTAGAATACGCTAGAATCTAGTGCGTTTGGTAGCACGGTTATAACATTACCCCCTTCTTAGTTCTGTTCGTCCCGAACAGCTTTCGTTCCGGTGTCCGCATGGTACGGAGCCAGTCTATCCAAATGAACGATCTTCATTCTTGCTCTCGGCTTCCGATATTCCTGAATACGGTAGACGACGTCATTCAAGCGGGTGATGACTTGAAAAGGTCCTTCCCACCCTCGCTGGAGCTTTGGAGAACGTCCTTTCTTTCGCTGTGAGTTGTACAGCCAAACTAACTCGTCGACAGCAAAACCGCCACTGCTTCCTTTCAAGTCGTATCTGGTTTTGGCCGCCTCCGTGTTTTTCATAATTTTAAAGCGTTCGTAACGGTGGATATGGTTTAATCGCTGTCGAAGATTATCCACGTATTCTGTTAATGGTTGGTGTGGTTCAGGTGGTACGCCATATTTCACATCAGCTGGAGTTCTTAAGGTAGTCCCAAACAGAACTCTTGATGGCGTTTCTCCAGTAGTTGTGTGGATAGCACTCCGGTATGCCATAAGAAACAATGGTATATGACGATCCCAATCCCGTTGATTTTCGTCGACTACTTTAGCCAGATGTTCAATCAGGGTCTGGTTGAATCGTTCCACCATACCGTCAGACTGTGGGTGAAAATGTGTCGTTCGAGTTTTGTTTATACCCAGCAGCTTGCACATTTCACCAAACAGTTGTGACTCAAAATTTCGACCTTGATCTGAGTGGAGTTCCAATGGGACACCATATCGACTAATCCAATTGAGTACAATTTCCTCAGCG